CACTAATAGTCATCAATATTTCTAATTATTTTCAAATAACTTTTCTTCTCCAAATATTTCCAGTTTTTTAAATTCTTTAATTAAATAAATTATCATATTAAACATAACCTACAAATGACGTAGGATATACTCTCTTATGTTAGTTAGAAAGATAATCGTCGACAAAAAGTGAATTATTCAAAGCGTGTTATTTCAAGTTACAACTCTTGTTGTGACAATTTTTAAATAACATTAAAATAAATCATAAAAACATTGATCAAATTAAATAATAAATATTTAAAACTCAATAATTAATGTAATATAAATTTGGTTATATTTGACAAGTTACGATCTTGAAATACGATGCAAAATTATCAGAGCGTAAGGAATTATGTTAAACTATGCAACAGGTATACTCATTACTTGACGTTCACTCAATTTGTCAATAATTTCAACAAATCGACAAATAAGTAGATAGAAAACTATCTTGTTTTTCTAGTTTACCTTGTGTAATTTAAACCAATTTAATATATGTGAAACAATTTTATAATACGTATGCATACATTTTATAATACATTTAGCATATCCACTTATGCATAAATAAAAAAATAGATTATGAATATTATAGTTAGATATAATATTTAATAAATGTTCAATAATCTTAAATAAAAAAGATAAAATGTCGGATAATGTAACGAAACTTTAAATCTACCAATTTACCAATCGTTTATTTGTGATTGGAATATTTTATAAATGTGATTTTATTATTATATTAATTACAATAAATATATATATATTTATATTTATTTATTTATTTATTTCAAATCAGAACTTTTCAAAATGTAACTCGTGACTATTTCAAAAGGGGGTGTGAGTTGCATAAAATTTGAACAAAAAAAAAAGAAAATAACTCAAAATGGACACGCGACTATCGAACATTAATTCCAAATCAGTTCGATATAGATTATGGGTACGTATGTGAGATTATGATAGGTAAAAAAGAGAAGATAACAGAATTTATGGCCAGGATCGTGAAAATATTTTCTTCAATAAGAAAAACGATCATCAAAATGAAAACCAGTTTGAGAATTTAAGATTAATTTCATTGAAATATAATATAAAAATAAGATGATATTTACTTCTATAAATATATTATTAATATTTATTTATATTATTATTTATTATATTTATTATATTCTATATATATATATTAATTTTGTATAAATTATATTAGATCATAAATTAATAATTTTAAATTTATTATTATATTATTATAATTATTATTATTATTATTAATATATTAATTTATTTTTATTTAATTTATATACATTATATAGATTAATAATTTTTTAATTTATTATTTTTGCAAATTTATTATTTATATATTAATTTATTATTATATAATATATAATTTAACATATATATATATATATTAATTTTATATAAATTCTATTAAAACAAATTAACAATTTTTAAATTTATTATTTGTATATTTATTATTTTTATCTTAAACATTAAATTATATTATATTAAATATTATTAAAAAAAAAAGAAATATTAATAATATATTTATACAAGTAAATATCATCTTGTTTTTATATTATATTTCAATCAAATAAATATTATATTCTCAAACATATAATATATTTTATACACACAAAATAATATTTATTTATTATATACATATATAAATATATTTATATTCAATACTTTTCTCAATTTATTATCACATTTATTAGACTAATAAGTGTATCGTTTGGTATAATAAACATCGAGAAGCAAGTAGGACTGCGTTATAATTTAATAAAGCTCAGATAAATTTAGATTATAGCGAGTGAAACGACATATATGAAAGAAAGAAAGAAATAAAAAAAGAAAGAGAGAGAGAGAGAGAGAAAGAAAGAGAGAGAGAGAGAGAACGTAGATACGTCAACATACTTAAATTAGTTCGAGATTACTCTTCGACTCGGGGGGAGTAAAATTAGCACGATAAATCTATCCTATTCTCAACGAGCTCTGCACGTCTTTGCCCGACTTCAACGTCAACCGATTCGTCCTTCCCCTCTACCCCCTTTATCCTCGGACTAATCAATTAAACGTTATTTTTCGTATGATTAACAAAGCTTCTTCTGATTGTACATTATATTTGTTTAGTTTTGTTTTATCTCATCAAACAACGTAAGCACGATTATTGAAATCCTTCTACCAATCTGCTCGTAAATTGTAAAATGATTCATTTCGGTGAATTTTATTTGCAACTTTTTTTTTAGGGGGGAGGGATATTCTAATTTTTTCAAATTAGGATTTAAGTGAAATTTCTAATTTTTCTTTTAATTTTTCTTTTTTTTTTTTGAATTAAGATTAATAGTTGTTTGTTAGTGACGTTAATTGTATAAGCAATGTTTTGTAAATTGAAGTTGTTCATTTTATTCTAGTTGATGATTTATGCATTGATTAATTTATAAATTAATTATTAAATAATAAATAAAATTTTGATTTATATTTAATTCATAATTAGAAATTCATGTTAACTAATAATTGACAAGAAATTTGAAATATTTCAATGAATAAATAATAATTTTGTATATTTTTCACGTATATCGTTTAACACACTTAATCTATTTAACATACTTGAACGATTCATACGTTCAATTATAAATTAATAAATATATATTTATTAATACTACAATAAAGATTTTTAATGGTATTCAAGAAAAATAATTATAAACATTAATTAACAAATTTGAGAATAATATTAAACAAATTTTCTAAATTTATAAACACGCGATCGAAGTTTATAATATTGATGAAGTATAATATATAAATAATAATCGAAGTTTCATATTTTGATATTAATATAGAAAACAATATAATAAATAAAAAATAAAATAAATATCAAATCAATAGAAATATGATAGAAAAATTCTAACATAACTAATACAATTAACCTTAATACAAATCTCCCTTCAACTTCTCGTTTGAGAAAAAAAATAAAAACATAAAAAATACAATCTTCACTTAGAAATATTATATCGAATAATGAGAGTTAATATTAAATAACAATTATACACCAATGTGGTATTAAAAATATTCATCTCAATTACTCAATTACTTCAACTTCATCTCAATTACTCAATTACTTACATATATATATATATCAAATCTCACATTAATCGATTACTATGTTAAAACGATAATTCAAATTATATTAAAAAAAAAATAATAATAATAATAATAATAAAATAAAAAATTATGTAAAGTTATACACGTATGACGTCAAACTCTATGAAGAACATAACGAAAATGATACTTCAATGTAATTGATATTACGAACTATGAATTAAATTAATATTGTTATTATTATTATTGTTATTATTATTATTATTAATACGTTAGGGTATTATAAGTCATGGTCGTAAAGTTTCTCGAGATGCGAAGACAACGTTCAGTATGCGACGGCCGTCGGTTAGGTTTACGAAGTTAAGGCAGGTGCAACTAATCGATTCAACGATCGATTTCACATTATTCGATCAATTCGATCATAAATCTTAAATCTTTCTTTATTATATTATTTATTTTTTTTTTTTGATCATTTTTTTTTTTATATTTTTTTCTTATCCACTTTTCGTGTCAGGTTCGATTTATTTTTTTTTTTTTATTATTATGGAAATTGTTTTCTTTTTTTTTTTTGCTTTTATTTAAACGATATCAATGGATATCATATTTTTTATTATTTATGATACAAATTATTTTATTACTTTTTTTTAAATCTTTTTTTCTATTCGATAATCCATCGTAATCGTTTGATTTGAAATATTTTTTACCGACGAACCTTTTTTCTTTCGTTTTTTTTTTTTTTTTTTTTTTATTACATGTGGTTTATGCTTTGATTATTTTTTTTCTTTTTTTTTTATTGTTATTATTATTGTTATTATTATATGATTTTTTGTGGCATCGCAGGTCACATTTTCTTTTTTTTTTTACCGCATTACACACTTCGTTTTCCGATCTTTTTTATTTAATGTACATTACATCGATTTAATAATAATTTCATTGTAATTTAATTGTTCATACCCTTTTAAGCAATATGTTTTAGATCATTTACATCTTACACAATTATCAATCATAACGAATGCTAATTTTTGTTCTAAATTCGATCAAATTTGTTTCAGAATTATGCACGTATTAATTATTATAAAAACAATTCATTTTAATTACATCGAAAACCTAATATATATATATTTTTTTTTTGTAATAAATATTGTAAATCATTTACATTGTTTTCGATCTATGTGATGAAATATCGACAAATTTTCTTACGAATTATATCCAATTTATTTTAAACAATAAATGAATTATCTATCATTAATTATCAATAAAATTTTATTGATATAAAAGATCAAATTTTTTTTTTCACGAACGATTTATAGATCATTTTTACATTACTCCATCATATGTAAATCAAAATCCTATTTCTGAATCTTATTCACTTTTTTTTCAACTCACTATACTTAACAATTACTATTAATAAAATTGCTATGTGGATGTGAATAATTGCCTCAAATTTAAATAATTGCATATTATCAATATTAACAATTGCACACGATAAATTCGAATAACTAATCAGAATCATATTTCCTTTCATTTTCAAATTCCTCGATCAGTATAATCATAAATCCAAATTACCCCTCACACATTACCAACCAATTATAATAAATAATAGAATCAAATTAATGTAATTATTTTCTATCATCATAAACTATGGATCAATCTTAGATTATTCAATCACTATGATCAAAAATCCTAATTTATCTACGAAATATCAATCTGTATTTTTCACACTGTTCATAAAAAATGAATACCATCGATACGATTCCCATAAAATAAATCCAAAATAAATAATCTTCTTTTAACAAAAATCACCTCGAACGAAATATCAAATAACTCTCGTTTTGTTTATTAAACAATAAAAAAAAAATCAAAACCAAAAACAATATCAATAAAGAATGAAACAAACATACCTGGGAAGCCGACGGATAGGAATATCCGAATTGAGCGTAGGCCGACATATCTTGATCGAGTGTATCAACAAACTCGTTCCTTCTTCGTAGATCTGTTCTAACGGATTGATAAACTAGGGGGGGTCCGGGTGGTGGGGGAGGAGGGGATTATTAAAAAAAAAAATTCCCAACACAATAGCACACAAATTAGTGCCGATCACACTCGCGCAAAGTACACTAAAACACTCGATCACTAAAGTTCTCTATGCTCGTTTTCTTCTTTTTCGTCGTTTTGGTTGTAGTCTTCTTGATTGTTGTTGTTGTTATCGTTGTCCTCGTGACGTGACGAATGAGTAACATGGATAATGATGATCGTCTAGCCATCAGGGCGTCTTGCCGTTAGGATCCAATGGGTCCAACGAAGAAAGCATACCTCTGTCTCTATTTAGTTTAACTTTTATTTGATTGCACTTACGATATTTATTTATTTATTTAGTTTTTTTCTTTTATATCCTTAGGTTCGATATAAGTATTTTTGGACATACAAAACTTAATTGTATATCAATTTTTTTGTATTTTAAATAACAATCGAATGAAAACGAACATTAATTCGATCAAACGATATCTTCGTAGGTAACGATGATAATAATAGTAATGACGATGACGATGACGATGACGATGACGATGACGCTCTTGGTGGCAATAACGATGATAATATTATTACAACGTATAATAATAAAAGTAATAAAATGAACTGGTTGCACGAACTACGTAGAGTTTCACGTGATATTAATGTAGAATATAATAAATGTCGCGTCGCGTAGCAGCAGCAAAAGCAACAGCAACAGCAGAAGGAAGACCGAAAACGCGTGTCCGATACGTGCGATACGATAATAATAAGAATAACGAGTGAAAGTACGTACGACGGGACGGACATTCGGACAGACTTAGAATGCTTTGGGCTTTGAGAGAGAACACGAGCGAGCGATTGGTTATGCCAGTTGGGTGTCGGTGGTCCGTCCCCTGCTCTCACAGGGCACTCCAGTCTGCGACTGACTCCCGAGCACTCACACCACTTCAGCGACCTTCTTCCGTGCCGCTCCGCACCGTCCCGGTTGCCCCTCTGGCGAGGAAAACCGAAAGCACCTTACCCCCACCACTAGCTAGATTAACACCCACCAAACGAGCTACGACCAATCACGATCGTTGATACTACGCTGACGTATCTGCTGGGCGTGTCGCATTAACTAGAGTGGGAATTCTCATTGGTCGAGGGGCAGTTCATGAGAAACGCCCATTTACAATGTAAACGCCCATTTTCTTTTCTGCCCCACCTAGAAACACCTATGAAACCTACCGTTAAATGAGCTACCACCGCTAAACCCAACTACCACCACCACCACGAGTATTTCCACCACCATCAGTATTACCACCACTGCTTTTGCTTTGCTCCGACTCTGCTGGTCTGCTTTGGTTTTCTACTGCTGCTGCTGCTGCTGCTGCTGCTGATACTACTACCGTTCCTGCTTGCCGTTGTTGCTGCTATTGTTGTGTCCTCTTCTTTTACTTTCTCTACTCTTTCTATTCTCTCTTCCTCTCTCTTGACCCCTTCTATTGGTAGTACTTATACTTCTCCTCAGCAACCCTCGAGTACTTATTCGAACGTACGCGGGGACAAACAGCCACGGTTGAACAAGGAGAAACGAGTGTGTTTACGCGAGTCCTACTCTTGTCAAGCCGACGGGCCAAAAGGGACTTAAATAAATCTCCTATCCCTCCCCACCATTTACCTTCTACCCCCCACCCTTCTCCCTCTATCTTTTTGCTCTATAACAATGCAACCTTCTTCCGGGTTATATCCTACTACTATTGTTCAACTATGAACCTGTCACTTTCTCTATGTTTTCTTTTTTTTTCCTTCTACTACTATTTTCTTGCTTCGTCTATCGTGAAATTTTTAACGAGGAACAATCGATTAACGTCAGATTCATTCATTCTCTATTCGCCTAATTTAACTCAACAATTGCTTTTAAGCTATTGAATTAGAATGTTTGTTTCATTCATTTGAATCAATCTCTTGTCGTGGTTTCACATTCCGCAATATTTCTTGAAATTTATTATATTACTTAAAATTATGAAAATTATTAAATATTTGAGAAAATGAATTATTAATTAGAATTGTAAAAGATTGTTTCATAATTTAAGGTTTATCGTTTTTGTCGAATTGTTTTATACAATTTCATCGTGGTCATCCCTTATCTCTTTTATATTTAACGAACCAAACGATTTTCACGAATCACATCAATCTTATCTTATTTTAAATTTGTATCTCGTTTTATTGTTCAACAAAAAAAAAACACAGTCGTTTCTATTTTAACGTTCATTTCTTATTTCTTCGTTCCGTTTACGATGAAATTTTTAAGCAATAAAATCTAAACTATTTCTCTACCTGCTCTTTCTGAATCTTTTTCCTCATCTTTATCTCCTTTACTTTGATCAAACGAACAAAAAGTCTAAACTGACGAAAGAATTTTTCTTCAAAGTTTAACTTAACGATCAAGATTATAAATGATTTTTTCTTTTTCTTAGTTCCATTGCAAATTAATTCTTTGCAAAGACATTCTCATATTCCAGTTGGAATTATATTAACTTAGAAATGATCACTGTGAAACTACGGTATAATCGGTTAGTTCAGACGAATGAACATCCTAACTCGACGACTCAACCATACTTACTTCATATTAGCTAAAAGGTAATTCTTCTAGCTCGCTGATTCTTCTCGTTTCAAAAGATTAGCTAACTCTATCTATCCATCTATCTATCTATCTATCTTTTCTTAACCACTTGGAATAATTTCACGGATCATTAACTCTTTACCCGAACCTTTTTCTTCCTCCCTCCCTCCCTTCCTTCCTTATTTCTCTTATTTCCCTTACTCCTATATTTTTTACACATTTCAAAACAAAAATTGTTGAAATCTTAGAAAGGATTATGATCTATCAGATGAGTATATAAAAGATTGATAATCTTAAATTCATTTTGGTCAAATGACTGACAGAAAACATTGTAAATTGATTTGTTCTCAAATGACATGGTACATTATTCAAATTATTCATGGATGTTTTTCGCATTATTGCATGATATGTTGTAAAATATTCAAAAAAAAAAAATTAGAATTTTCTTTGAAATCAAATTCGAAAGGACATAAATATTGTCTATCGAATAACATGCTTGATTTATGTTAGATAAGTTCCTAGCTGAGATCTCTTTGTTATGGGGATGTACGTGAAAAATCTTGTTCTTTTTGTTTGGGGGGGATAATAAAGATCCTCCTGAGATTTTGACTTCCTTCTTTCGTTACTTTCATCAATCTGTTGGATTTATTCAAACGTGAAGGTTCGCTATTACTTTCCTATTTATTCAGAACTTTCTTCTTTTTTTTTTTTTCTTTTTATTTTCTTTCTTTATTACGAATGATTTATAATCATAAGAAGAGGATACAAGGATGATCGTAAAATGGGACTGCATACCGTGCATAGTTTTCCTCCTTTTGCTTCAATTCTTGTTAAAACATCATAATAGCAAGATCCTTTTCTCGTAATATTCAACTTAATCCTGATCCTCCTCAATACAATGACAACATCTTATTTTAACTTCTACTCACTTTCAGACTGTTTCTATTCGCATTTTTCTTTTCGTTTTCTTCACCTTTTTTCTTTTATATTATAACAACGAAAATGGAAAACGAATGCTTCGTGCTTCAAAACCGCACAATAACCATTAATGTTTAACCATTTATTTTTTTTTTCTTTTCTATTCGAAACTTGTTTATTTGTGGTATTCTCCTGAGACATTTTCAGCCTTTCAATACTTTCATTCAAAATTCAAATTTTGAAAGAGTTCTATTATTAAAACAGCAAATATGTAAAGACATTTTTATGATTTTTGCCTGAATCTGATGAAATAACATCCTATCCCCCTGTATCCTTTCAATACTACAAGGGATTATGATCATTTTACATGAGATTTTGTATGTTTGAGTTATATGAGATTATTTCATGTCAATCATCCTACTTAAGATGTATATTTTAATATTTTTTTAGGAAAAGATTACAACAACAAGTCTCAATGAGCAATTTTTTTCAGTTTCTAATTTTAATTTATTATTTTATTCGAAATTTTTATCAAATAACTTATATACAGTCAAACCTGTTTTTGTGCGGTCTTTTTTTATGCGCTTTTTTTTTGTGCGATTCTTTTTTTGTGCGGTATATGAATATCGACAGATTGAACTGAAAAAAAAAAAAAAAATTTCTCCTTGTTTAAAATTAGAAATTAAAATTTTTTTTAAATGTTTCAATGTGTAATTTAATTATTTATTTCGTTTGGAAAGCACTTTCTTGCTATTTCGTGAAGCTTTGACATATTTTCTAAGTGAGACTTTTTTTATGCGGTCCCTATCTACCGCACAAAAACAGGTTTGACTGTAAATTAGAAATAATTTCATATTTAATTTCAAATGTGTGGTGTGTGGATGTTCATTTTCAATAAATTATTATTTACAAAATATCATGTCTATTGAAGAAATTCATATTATAATCAACCTTATTAATTTTTTTTTTTTTTTTTTTTTAAAGTAAATGTTATTTTTTTATAAAGATTTATAAGAAAAAAAATAAAAAAATGTAGAAATATTTAAATATATATATATATATACAAAACAAAATGGTAAGAATCAACTTACATTGAGAAACCTGTTGTCCTTTCTAAAATCGTATCTGATCTTAACGGACAGTTTCATTTTAGAAATTCTTGAACCCCATGGGAATAAAAACGTGATGACCATTAGATTTGGTGTATAAAAACATCTTTTGTTATTTTACTTCTAACATTTTTTCCCCATGTATCTCAATATACTGTAAAATTGTTAGTGGTCAGACGATATTTGAAAATGTGTTGAATGAATGAATGAATGAATGTTGGTCAGTATTGTTAATAACAACACCACAACTATAAAATTCATTGATTTATTTAAATTCTTTCGAATTTTCAAGAATATTATTAATTACAGTGTGGTAAGTTAATCAAAAGCATTTGATAATGAAAAAAATGGAATGTAAAATATAGAAAATAAATTGCATATGTGTTTTATACATGTATTGTCAAGAATGTTAACTAGTATTGTTAATAACAATACTGCAACTATAAAATTCATTCATTTATCTAAATTCTTTCGAATTTTCGAGAATATTATTAATTACAGTGTGGTAAGTTAATCAAAAGATTAGATAATGAAAAAAATGGAATGTAAAATATAGAAAATAAATTGCATATGTGTTTTATATGTGTATTGTCAAGAACGTAGGTTGATATTGGTATTAATTACAACCCAACTATGAAACTAATTCTCTCTCTCTCTCTTTCAGTTTTATTATTATGTGGAATGAATTACGTGTGCCGCGTTTAAAAACCTTTTATTGCACCACTATGATGGTATCATTTAAACGTTATTCCCGAGATTAAATTAAAGACTTCCCCCCCCCCCTACCTTTTTAAAGAATTTCTTCGTAATTCTTTTTTCTTTTTGTATTATACACCAAGCCGCCGACATATTTTATTGGTTGATTTAAATTATTGTAAAAAAAAAAAAAAAANAAAAAAAATGTCAATGTATTTAAATAATAATTAATATAATATATTATCGTAGATCAAAGAATTTGAATTTTTTTATATTTTTTTTTTTTTTTTTTAACTCGTATCTATCTAATTTTCACACGACCTTGATCGTTTCTCGTAAGATATGAAAGAAAATGTGGTAGAAAAAAAAAGAAAAAGAAAAAAAAAATAGCGGAATGATTTTAATCACATTTATAGTAAGGCGTAGGTATATTCCAAGACCGTGAGATCAAGTATTATGAGTCGTCTTTTGTATGCGCATATATTCTTATGGCAATTATCTTTGCGTGCTGGATAATCGATCGTCGAAGACTCAGAAATAGTAGTTCTCTATATATATATATATATGTTTTATATGTATTT